AGTTAGGAAGATGGAGGGGTCATAAATCGTATCTCGATTGTGGTTGAACTTAATGGAAACTTTATTCGTTATTGACATTTACAGTATTTAAACACTCTGTTTATTACATTTTGTCTTTTTATAATAACTAATAATTCAAGATAATTTTAATAACATCTCATAATAGATGTCGCACCCACAATTCTGACTTTTAGGTAGGATCATAGCCCACCAGTGACTAAGCAGTTCCGTTTCCTGAACACTTGGAGTTCGATCGTGGTATCGCGCCTCGCCAGGTCGGGAGGCTACGTGGATTTTTCCTGGTTTTCTCCACGTCTCACAGTGAGGCCAAATCCCAAAAAGCTGGCCAAAAGTCAAAAGCGTTATCAATTTGGCTGAAAATCCGTATTCGAGGGTTTTACTTTTCTGCAGGTATACTTTTATAAAGTGCGAGTAATCATCAATAATACTTTGGAAATATTTTCCATTATTTACATTGCACGGAGTGACAGATCCACGAATATAACAACTCTCCTAATCACTTATATAGTCGTAGTATCCTTCATAAATGGAAGTCTGCCAGCCTTTCCTACCATGCACACTTCATATATATTTTTAGATCACTATAGCGTCTTGCCCTTATTATTATTACAACATTTTGTGTTAATACTATGTACATAATTAGGGTTTGTCACACTGACTCACTTGACAAAAGGAGTTTACTAATTAATTACATACACCTATATATATGCACACTATTACCAATTCGAAATACATTTCGAACTTTACAATGGCCCCTCTCTTCACTTAGACATTTTTGTAATTTAAACATTATGTGTATAACAATCTGTTAAAATTAGAACAGATAAATAACAAGAACAGTTCAGAATTAAAAACAAAAATTGTAAAAAAAAACAACGTTTTTTAAAACAGGAGCCATTCCTTAGCTTGTTGTAATCATAATTCCAACCATTCTCTTCCAATTTTTTTTCTTTTTCACCATACCGAATAAACACTTTAATAAATCTAATTTAATTTATATATATCCTTATATTATAGAATTATCTTAAGCACGCACACATACACTAACATCCGTGAATATAGAAATTAGCCCCGAACATTTTTGCATTTCTCGACATTTCAAGGTGTCGTACGGACAAAAATGTAAAAATATGGGAAGGGGGTCATTTTTTTGACCGATTGCCATACTTTTCCTCTGTAATATATAACAGCCGGGAAAGTAATTATTTAACATATAAAAAAATCGTACTGCGCTGTTTCTATAGAGTGGTTGGCAATCAAATTTATCTTCGAAAGAGACTAACAAATAAACCAGGCACTACCCACGCAAAAAATAAAGATGTCAAACATTAAAATAAAACTGTATTAATGAAAATTATGGTTATTTTATCTTACACTGTCTACGTTTGTATCATAAAATTAATGTAGGCCTAATTTATTATTAGTGTTATACAAAATATTTTCACTATAAAATATATCTGTCTCCAACACTTTATTTTAGTATGTTACAGTGTTTGTAAAGCATTAAATTACTTATCTCCAAATTCTTCACTTTCAATAGAATGTCTCAAGTTGCAAGTTAGTAATTTATATAAAGTGGAGCAGAACAAAGTATATTTTACCACACACGCTTCTAAGCAGAGTACGAAGCGTCGAGAAAAAAGAAACATAATTAATAGCCTACATTTTTTTTTAATTTTGATATTGCATTGTACTCACGTTAACAAATATTTATTTATAAAATGGACATATTTTAGAATTAATAAAACAAGTTAAACTGTGTTATAAAATACAATTCGTTTATTTTCTTAAATTACAAGTATAAAAGTTACACAGTAATTTGTACTAATTTACTCTACACTATCCAGTAATTAACGACTTTAGATATCACAGTTTTTTTTCTTTTTAATCTTAAAACCGACAAAATTCTAGCTTTGAATGAGTGAATGATGATCTCCTCCCACAGGTTGAACCCCAAGAAAAAGTCCTAAAGAATTATGGTCTACGAATAACCCTTACAAATAAGTATTAAACGGGCCAGAGGAAGGGGATATATAATTCTATGAGCGTAAAATGCAGTAGGCATTTAATAAGATCGAAATATTTCTGGATCACGTTTTACGTAAATTGAAATTTAAATTTAATAACTAGAAAGTATTATCACAGAAATCAAATAAAAGTTACAAATTAGTGTAGTGTACAATACAGTACATCGCAAGTATTTTTTAAATAAATTCACGTAAAAGATGAGTAATTGTAGCTTTAACACTCTATAATATAAATAGAGAATTTTAATTAATTAAATATTTTGCCTTTGAATTTTACGTACAAGGCGTCCCCGAAAAGCTATGGATAGACATGACACAGAAATTGCCACGACCGGCAGCTGCGCGCCAATGTATGCCAATGTCTACGTCCTCGGTTAGTACCTTCACCTGGTTTCCGTCACCATATCTTTTTTGGTAGTCGGCAACGAAGTGAGCTCATTTCGTTGGACTATCTAATATAATCGTACTCATTCTGGGCAATCTCTCCCATTACCAATGGATCTAGCAATACCAGTTTGTCGTTATTCTAGACGAGACGACCCCACAAAAGATCTACCACAGTTTTATCAATCTCAGCCATAAGTTCACCCAACGTTATGGTCAAGCTTATTCGAACCCCTCTTCGCCGTATCGAAATTTCCGTAACTTATATCANTATGGTCTACGAATAACCCTTACAAATAAGTATTAAACGGGCCAGAGGAAGGGGATATATAATTCTATGAGCGTAAAATGCAGTAGGCATTTAATAAGATCGAAATATTTCTGGATCACGTTTTACGTAAATTGAAATTTAAATTTAATAACTAGAAAGTATTATCACAGAAATCAAATAAAAGTTAAAAATTAGTGTAGTGTACAATACAGTACATCGCAAGTATTTTTTAAATAAATTCACGTAAAAGATGAGTAATTGTAGCTTTAACACTCTATAATATAAATAGAGAATTTTAATTAATTAAATATTTTGCCTTTGAATTTTACGTACAAGGCGTCCCCGAAAAGCTATGGATAGACATGACACAGAAATTGCCACGACCGGCAGCTGCGCGCCAATGTATGCCAATGTCTACGTCCTCGGTTAGTACCTTCACCTGGTTTCCGTCACCATATCTTTTTTGGTAGTCGGCAACGAAGTGAGCTCATTTCGTTGGACTATCTAATATAATCGTACTCATTCTGGGCAATCTCTCCCATTACCAATGGATCTAGCAATACCAGTTTGTCGTTATTCTAGACGAGACGACCCCACAAAAGATCTACCACAGTTTTATCAATCTCAGCCATAAGTTCACCCAACGTTATGGTCAAGCTTATTCGAACCCCTCTTCGCCGTATCTAAATTTCCGTAACTTATATCATTAAGTATCCTGTCGGATGTAACATCACGTTACGAGGTTCTTGAAGGAAACCACACATGATGTAAACAAAACATAAGGTTTCTTTACCTTTGAAATATACAGTCAGATAACAGCACAGTACAAGTTGACAGAGACTTTCCGCCATTAAAATAATGCGAAAACCCAGCTGAAAAAAAAACGTGAACCTCCATATTCATCGCTAGGGGCGCCCTAACAGTTTCATTAAAAAAAAGCGCTAACAATATCATTTCAACAATCGTCAAATCCGATTCTTGATTAGAAGCGATAATAAAAGCGAGATAATTTTGAGAAAATGAATGCTGAAAGTAAGTTAAACTATCTGATTATGTGTGTAATTACACTGATTAGTTTACAGCGTTTCCATAATGCGATAATAAACAATGTTAGTGTAAAATTTAAATAAAAGCTTAAAACATGAATGAAATTACTATAAAGTGTATCACGATGAGCATCGCTGCTACATTATTTGCTTTCAATTTAACATTTGGATTATAAATCAAATCCTTAATTGACTTAAAGGGAGATGACGGGATATGTTTTACTTTTCATTGGTACAGATGTATTAAGTAAACAAATATGAAAATATTCACAATACAGTACTAATAGATTTTTATTTGCACATTTTTTCTAAAATGCAAATGAATATTATACCAGAATAAGTAATAATTATATAAAAGTTACGCGTTTTGTTAAAATTAGATTAATTAAGATAAAAAATGTATGGCTGCAATTTCGACAAGATAGTGGATGCCTACAGCTAAGGAAATAAAGATGTTGCATGAGTTATTCGTACATTACAGCAATAATAACAAACAATAATTAAAATAAGTTAATGATTTATTTATTTATTTAATATATAGAAAAATGTATGGCGGCAATTTCGACAAGATAGTGGATGCATACAGCTAAGGAAATAAAGATTTTGCATGAGTTATTCGTACATTACAGCAATAATAACAAACAATAATTAAAATAAGTTAATGATTTATTTATTTATTTAATATATAGAAACTGTTAAATATTCTTAAATATCCAATGCTTAGATATAAATAATAACAACGTAGACATTGAAATGAAGAGATGATAAGCAAAAATCATCATATTAGATATTTAATTTTACTTTTCTGTTCATGACATACTAAATATTGAACAGATTTTATGAGAATTACAAAAGGTTTTCTTTGCGGATTGTATTTAATATGCTTTTAATGGATTCGATCTCTGATATGCTCACATACGAGATATGTGAGAGATAATTGGAGCCATCTCGGTTGTGGTATCAACATCTGAAATGATACCCATTGTGAGTCATACGGATATGTCTCGGTACGCAATAAATAAATATTTAATTATTTATTAATACAATTCATAATTACTGTAATACCGTTACTTATAATACCAGTCAATACCATAAACTTAATACAGTATAATACTTAAGATAAACTTGATCACGACTTGCAACTTCGTTACTTATAATTTATTGTTTCATTAACACAAATAAGTATATTATTGTGAAACAAATAAATAATAATTTGGAAATGTTTCTTTACAGGTTTTCAGTGCGTTTATAATGAAAGTTATTCGTCATTTGGATATAATAATTATGTTGTGTATGCTTATCAGGTGAGTATATCTGGAAATTCTAATTTACGTCTTAGATAAAGTATAGTAAATAATATTTAAATAAAATGTACACTCAAATCGCTTGCCAAGGAAGTCAAAAATGAACCCTTAGCAAGCATTTTAAGTTTGCTGTTTATATCAATTTGGTGTTAATTTGCTTTAGTTTATAAAAGCTGATATTAGGACTTTTTGATATATAAAAATTTAACAGACAGTCGAGAATTTCTAACATATATCGGACTAGCAAACCGAACAAAATTAATTACTCCATTATCCTTAACACCTACAGTTTTATCTTTTATTGAGACATGATTTACGAAACAATTCCAACGAACTTGTAGCAGTTATTTCGGCAATGAGAATTTTATATTATTAGAAAATTTAACGTATTTATATTAAATTCTGACTACGTAAAAATACTATTTCATTTTATATCAATGTATTTATGTAATATGAAATTCACAATAAAGTACAATAATGTTATAATATTAAATTCATGAAAACAAGAAAAACAAAAAAAATTTAAATGATTTAGCGATTTTGAATGAATTTCATCTAAATTTAAGACTTGGATTAACAAAAAGGAGCAACTATAAGTTGTGTCCCATATTCAAAACTCTTTTCCAGAATTATTTGACTGTCTTTGTAAAATTTCGTAATAGAAAACAGAGAAAATTACAATTAATGCTAATAATTGCCGTAAATCATAAATGAAGTAAATAGATTTAATTAATACTGTGTTGAATGTGATATAAAATAAAAACTTCTTTAGAAATTTGAATGAACTGGGGAAAAAATGCATATTTATTCGTAAAATTTTCTGCTTTCATATTATTTCTTGTACAAAAAAGATGCAAGATTTATTTCCAAAGTTCAATTTTCCTTTACATTAGATTAATGAACACGTGTGTAAATATACAGAATAATAACTTTCTATTATTCCAAATCACATTTTATTTCGGACATAAAATTATTACACTTTTCATTAGACATATTCCTGACTTAAAGTTAAATATACTTTAACAAATAATTAAACACTATCAGAGAAGTTTGGAAGAAATTTTCTCAACTTGAAAGTACAAAGTTGAATCATATGTGGAATATATTAATGTTATTCTCATTAATTAAAATGAAAAATGGGACAGTTGATATTTTATACCTTTATATAAGTACACTTTATATTAAAACAATTATTAATTGTATTTAAATAAATTTTATAAAATGATTTAATTTTAATCAGTTTAAGTTATTTTGAATATTATCATTATCTCATATTTCTTTCTAAAACGTATAATTAACATTTAATTTAATGCTGTTCACATATATTGTTAGATTATTACATATATAAACTTCAGATACGAAAGAAAAGTAAATTTTTATTAATGAGCAATATCTTTTCTGTTATTTCAGTATACATTATTCTTTGTGCCATATGATTTGTGGTCAGAAATGCCTGAATATGGGCCGACTACAGACTTTTCACAAAGTGGAATACTGCCAGAATATCAGCAGTATGAACCTCAACTGGGTGAATTTGGATATCGGTCACTATCAGAATTCACGCCTTATTGGTCGTCTCCTGAAATAGCCGATAATGAAAGACAAGAAGAAACGACTAGATATTGGCCGCTCCCAGAAATTAGTGGATATGGCTCAATCAGATAGAAATGAATATATGTCAGCGCCAGAAGTAACTGAATGTGGGCCACTGCCGTATGGAAATCAATGTTCGACAGGTCCAGAAAACGTTGAATATGGAGAATATTCCAATGTAAATGAATATATGACACCTACAGAAAATGTTCAATATGGAGCTTATCCGGTTATAAATGGATATTGGCAAGCTCCTGTATATGCCCCTCAATCAAATATTAATGAATATATGTCAGCGCCAGAAGTAAATGAATGTGGGCCACTGTCCTATGAAAATCAATATTGGACAAGTCCAGAAATTGTCGGATATGCAGCATATTCCAATACAAATGAATATATGCCAACTGCAGAAAATATTCAATATGGAGCTTATCCAGTTATAAATGAATATTGGCAAGTTCCTGAATATAATGGATATGGCACTCAATCAGATATTAATGAATATATGTCAGTGCCAGAAGTAACTGAATGTGGGCCACTGCCGTATGGGAGCGAGTATGAGACAGGTGCAAAAAATGTTGAATATGGGGCGTATTCTGTCATAAATCAATGTTGGTTAGATCCACAAACTATTGGATATGGGGCATATTCCGTTATAAATGAACATAAGCCAGCTGCAGAAAATGCTCAATATGGAGCTTATCAGGATATAAATGAATATTGGACAGCTCCAGAAAATACAGGATATGAAACATATTGCGATATATATCACCAATGGCCATCTCCAGAAGTATTTGAATATGGTCAGCAACCATATATAAATAAACACTGGACAGCTGCAGAAATTTTTGCAGATGGAACTCAACCAGGTATAAATGGAAATATGCCAGTTCTAGAAAATATTACTTTTGGGCAACTACCTATTATAAATGAAAATTCGCAAGCCTCAGAAATAATTGATTTCGGGCAGCAACAAAATTTAACTGAATATTGGCTGCTTCCAGAAATAAATATGTATGACTATCAGCAGCCGGTAGAAATTCAGCATTATTCGCCGCCAACTGAAGTGTCAGAATCTACCGAAAGTGGAAAGCTGCAATATGAACTTCCTGGAAACGTGGAACCAACAGAATGTCTCAAATGTGACTCTATAGCTCATAATTCTGCAAATCCATTAGAACACATTAGAACCAAAGTCACATATTTCATCAGAAACGCGTCATCAGCAACTTAAAGGTAAATTTTATCAATAACATTCTTCTAACAAAGCCATAGAAATAAATTAATATTTACACAACTACACGAACAGCTGTATTCTATATAAATATTTGCAGAACTAGTAATAAATAAGGAGAAGCCTAGGCTGCATCTCAATGGTGCTTGCTTGCATATAGCGTTATTAGTCTAAGCCATAATGTGTATAAAATTTTAATTGAAAAATCTTAAAAACTGATTTAAATGATTAAAAGGAGAATCAAGAAATAAAAAAGTAATAAATCGATAGCATAAGTATCAGAAAGAGGTATCGAGAACTCTATGACCTATCATCTCCTTGGTTATGTTGGCTGTTCGTAGAGGTCTGTTAACAGCTGGGGATGGTTTTGCAGATAGGACGTGTAGCAGATTTATAAAAAATTAAAGCGCAACTATACATTAAATATGAAAGTTTTAGTATTTAATCCATAAATTGTAACTTAATTCTTTCTATATATCAGCAGTTTAATTCACTGAGCAAAATGTTATTGTATATTTACTCTTTTATCTAAATTATATTATTTATCGATAATGAGGGATATACTTTACTTACGAAATTATAGTATTTATGTAACTAAGTATTTATTTGTTGTTAAGTCATTAAACTTTCCGTAGATAGGGGAGATCGGGGCAAGATCGGCATGTTAAGCTTTACTTAAATTTTGTGTAATAAATACTGCTGTAAACTGAAAAAAAAGCTTTGCATATTGTCTATTGGAATGTTACCTTACTATAGAACTGGTTAAAATCAGTTTGGAAATAAAAATAATTAAAATAATTACAACTTTACAAGAAGAGAGAAATTGACGAAGTTGCCCCGGGTATAGGGGCAAGATCGGCAACTTCTCTCTTTTTGTAAAGTTGTAATTATTTTAATTATTTTTATTAAAGTTGCCCCTGGTATAGGGGCAACAGTAATGGGGCAAGATAGGCACGTATATAAAATTATGTTATTAACAATGTATAAGTTGGAATTCACTATTAAAACAAAGAAATACAAATCCAACACCCATTTAATATTATTACAACGAAATGCAAGTTCAAAGACATATATACATGAATAACAAATGCAAACATGTTTTCATTTATCATCTGTTTGATTTTTATCCTTTGCTTCTAATGTGGCTTTATGTTGCCGATCTTACCCCGCTAGTCATGATTTCGAAACATTAAGTACAACCCTGAGAACAGAATGCCAAGCCACGATCTGGCCACGTGAATAAGTTGAAGTTACATCCTTCTAACAGGAAAAGTAACTTTCGTTATCATGGAATTATAACAAAACCTGCCAATTCAATATAAATGGAAAAAAAATATTATATGGAATTGAACGAAAATGAAAATTTGCTTGATAATTCAACTACGCTTGTTGGAGAACAATAAAAACACTACACTCAACAAGCCACCAATAAAACTCAACTGCCTAACCTATAACCAAAGTCTCCTTTTAATTTGTTTTTTAAAAAAAGCGCTTGACAAACTTGCCCCGCATGCCGAAGTTGCCCCGATCTCCCCTATGTGTTTAATGAAATAAGCGTTTAGATTTAATTAGAGAATTATTCATTCGATTTCAATGTATAATAATGAAATTTAGATATGATTTATAAATAAATAAAATATGTAAACTACAGATATTAAATAACCGTATAACAACATGTCTGACGAAACTTGTATTAAGTAAACATACCTTTTTTTCATGATATCCCTTTATTTCTCTATCAAAAAAAATTGTAAGCGTTGTTTTGACCCCTTTCTAGTTATGCTAGATAATGTTTATTTAGCTTTTTTCCATGATAATTTTAATAAAGAATAAAGTTCATTCAAAAAATTTTGGGAATAGTTTTGAAGAATATTGAAATACTACAGATATTAAATAACCGTATAACAACATGTCTGACGAAACTTGTATTAAGTAAACATACCTTTTTTTCATGATATCCCTTTATTTCTCTATCAAAAAAAATTGTAAGCGTTGTTTTGACCCCTTTCTAGTTATGCTAGATAATGTTTATTTAGCTTTTTTCCGTGATAATTTTAATAAAGAATAAAGTTCATTCAAAAAATTTTGGGAATAGTTTTGAAGAATATTGAAATTTTAAAAATTTTGTTAACAAATTAAAATCAAAACATCTAATTTAACATTAACAAAATGAATTTTCACGAACAACGAATTTTTATAACACAGTTTTGTAACGCACGTTTGAGATTAACCTTTGCCGTGCATTAAAATTATATAAATGATACACACAAAAAGTAGAATATTCTGAAATAATTCTCAAAAGCAGCTACGATAAGTACTGATTTGATATATTTTCTCGATGTATACAGTTTTAGGTTTTCTTTCATTTATCCAACTTTATTGCTTATATAAATCTTGCATTCTCCTAAACTGATTTACTAAATTATTTTTCATGTTTTGTTATTCTTTAGTTTCTGAGTTTGAAGTGAAAGATCCTGATCAAACTCAAAAGTACGAAACTCACTTAGAACAGAGCAGCTGTGCAAAATGTAATTCAGAGAAATACTTAAAAGACGACAAAGACGAAAAAGTGTCTGAAAATATAATTCCAAACAGCACAAGTGAAGAAACTTCTTGTGAACTCGATGCTACAAAACAGTTTCCGATTGTAAGTTGAAGTTTAATTAAAAGCATTTCAGAAAATTTCTTATTTCTGAAATGAAAACATTGAATATTGATAAATACACGTTATTATCGTATTAAATATTATTAAAAATACGATCTTACTTGATATTTAATTCCATATACATTACTTATGTACTATTATATGATTTTACTCGCTCTTTTATTTTTAAAGTTAATATGTTATTAAAATATAAAATATCTCCTGTAATGAGTGCTTGTAAGAATAACAAAACATTTATCAATTAACTTTGACATGAAAGCAGTTATTAAAACAGAATCATCTCAACTCGTAGATTAAAGTGAATAAAAATATCAAGTTTGAAAAATATATTTACATGATGTGAATAATAAATTATATACCAATACTTTCGCAATCATTTGCATAGAAATATCCATGATTGAACGTTTTATGTCTAAGGATTCGAAATGCAAACAAATGATTCTTAATAAAATATGCAACGATTGGAGACGATGCACTAAACAGAAAAGCTATAAAAATAAATTTATTATTGCTAATTTTTTTATTAATGTAGGTTAATATCTACAATATCAGTAATATATTGCCTATTAAAATTTCAATCACTATATGGTGCCTAAAAACATATTAAATTCGCTTGGCCATTACTATACAATAAAACCGTTAAATGTTTATTAAATTAAACTTTAAGTTAATTAATTAATTGATGTTTAAAAAATAATTCGAAATCTTTTTTTCAGAAAAACGTGCCAGAAACTCCATTGTCTCCTGCACAAATCACATCGATTGTAAACGGCGGTTATACAATACGACCATTATATAGAGCGTTTTTGGATCTGGAAGAAAATTCGTTAGTATGTGATGTAATATATGAAGAGGACGAGCTTAACTATGAAGACGATCTATCGGAAACATCTGATGATCTGTCTTATATAAATAGCATGGAATCAGATATCATGTCAATTGAAGACGGAATTTCTGATAACATAAATAGAAACGAAGTATTTGACAACTGTAATGTGAAAGAAAATATAATAACGGATCAATATCATTCGTCTGTTTATGAAAGATGTGAATTAGAGTCGACTCCTGTTCATGTGAAATCATTCGAATTAAATTCAACAAACAAAATGGATGAATTTTTCGACGAATTACCTGCGTCCGATTGTGAAAACATTGTAGATGAATATTCTTCGTTCAAAAATCCTAGCAAAGTACTTGAAAAAAACTTCATTACAAAATTACCTAATACAAATGAATACATAATAGAAAATGAATTTTTACCAATTCGGTTTAATGAAAGGAAATTTTCATTAAATATGAAAGATTCAAAAATTAATGAAAATGTTGCAAATGATGCAGTCGGATCAGAAGAATTTGATAAAGGTAAGATATTTGATAGTTTGTGTCCGATTTTTTCTTTATTTGAATAACTTAACGTTTTTATTTGTCTTACTTAAATTTATATATGAAAGTAATTCTGAAACAATTTAAGTAGACTATATTATTAAGCATTTGCACATCTTCAATTTTTAAAGATTATTCGCTTTAATTGTTTATTATATTAATAAAAAAATTTAAATTAAAGTAACACGTTTCATATTTTTCTATAATGTATACAGAGACTTTTGCTAATGAAAAGCAATTTTTTAATTTTGTGTATACTATTTTATGTTTGTTAGAGTTGTTTAATATATCGTTTACATTTAACGGCGGTATTATAATGTTTAATTAATGAAAAATAAAAATTTAATTGAAATAAAATAATTGATTTTTCAGAAAACAATAAGAAAGACAAAAAGGACAAAATCCAAATCGTAAATGAATTTCCTGATTTGGAAGAAATCAATTATTGTGGCTCTCAATGTTTAGTGGAAGAAGTATCCAAGCCACAAACAAAAAAAGAAGTGAGAATATATTTTATTTTTGTTTCTATTTAAAAAATGATTAATATCTTTACGTCTATAAACAACATTTTGATTTCAAAATTTAATTAATCAAAATTACAATATTGTATTGTAATTGGAACAAAATAGGCAGAGTTTGAATGTAATTCTTTAAATTATTTAATTAATTCAAAACTCCGTATTAGAATTGAAAGTGTTATCATTTAAAGATGTTACTAATTATAATCAGCAAATTTGAAATAATCGAATCTAATTAAAGTGCGTTTGTAAATGTTCATAAATTCCATTGAATTTTCGCGTTTATTTATTGTTTTAGTGGTACCTACATATACAGTTTTTGCTTTTCATATAGCAAATTTTCAACTGAATTAAATCAGCCATTTGTGATCATGTGATTTCATTTAGCCTATTTGCAATAATCTTTCAGAAATTCTATTGTTGCTTAAGTTTTCGTTTTTATTTATTTAAATTTTATTTACTCTGAAAAAATTAAACAAATAATTTAAAACTGTATATTTGAGTAATAAAACAACTCAAATTTGGAATTATTTAATATTTTTTTAGATTTAAGTAAATTTAAAATTTTATATATAATTTCACTAATTATATACAATATATTTTAAAATGAGTCTTATGATTGTTGATGTATGAAAATCTTTTATATCCTTTGTTTAGAAGGAGACAAGATGCATGGACGTCTTCAGATACGTTCTTCGCAGGCTTGGAAATTTACTTCTCCCTTGCCTGAGAACAAAAGATTAATAACTTCTTCAATGAAACCTGCACGTGAATTAAAAAATGAGTATAATTTGCCGTGCTGTAATAACTATACTTGATAAAAAATATATCGTGATTATATTTTTCGTTTGATCTTTTCAAAATTCTATTTAATTATTGTAAAAAGTAATTAGCAAACATTTAAATAAAAATAAAAAATCTCCCTTTGGTTGGTGTTGCATTTTTATTGAATTTTCGCCATTCTTTAATGTCTTAAATGTCTTCCAGGTTTAGGTATATTCTTCGAACAATAGTTTTAAAAGCAAAAAAGATCTTATAAGTTTATCTTATCTATTTCGTAATATATGAGATTTTAAACACATTTGCTGCTTACATTCTCCTCTGCAAGTGTCAGCTATTCTTATAGAGAGATTATGAAATTCAGCCTTGTTCTTCGGGAGACACAGTTTGAACTACTGCAATACAGTGACGGGAAACGAATGTTGTAGAACTTTCATGAAAACCATAAGTAAGCGGGAACATAATACATAGATATTAGTTGATAGAAGTACACTTCAACGAAGTTTGGTATTGTTATAGAAAAGATTTTATACTAGGCCGATGGCAATAGCAAGATCAATATTATCTTGATTATATTTGAAAATACAAAGGGTATAAAGGGATTGCAACTTATCATTTTTATAAAAGTTGATAATGGAATATATGTCTGGAATCAGTGGATGCTTGAGAAATGATTTCCTGCGATATTTCGATGACATCTCGAGTAATAATTTCTCGATATATCAATTATTATATCGCATTTTCTTTTGGAGCTAAAATGTATGAGAAATACTCGGGATATGTTCAACTAACATTGTGTATAAATTTCATATATTATTTTAATTCTCTAATCTACAATAATTAATTATTGAATAGTGCTTGTGTTTGATGTGTCTAGAATTTCACTGCGAAAGCTAAAAACATTGTCTAAGAAGCTAAGGAAATTTAAACGCACAATACAGTAAAGAAAAATAATAAACCGCGAATAAATATGTCTCCAGTTTCTAATTTACTGAAATATCAGAGAATAATTTACTTACTAGCAACATTTTTTAAAAGTTCGATTTACTGCAAGAAACTAATAAAATTCATTTCAAAATATATTTTATGAAAGGATGTCTACCAAAATTCGTGTATTAAAATCAATAAAACTTAGCACTTCAATAATTGCAATTTACACTATAAATAACACAGTTACTACTACGTATAAAGTTTCAATTCATGAAATTTTGTTATATAATAATGATGTAATACAAACACTAAAGTATTTAGATATAATTGACAACAAATACGACTCAATATTAATATTAGTGTAATATTATTATGTTAATAAAGTAATAATTATGAGATGAAACAATAATTTATTCTTTCAGTTCAAACTAGTAATTCAAGGAATTTTTCAGAGCTTTGTCCGTTTCAGAATTATTTTCAGAGCTTCGACGTCACTCGGTCATATGAATCCTATTCTTCTTTATTTTCGTCGTGTAATTACGGCCAAAATTAAATTGCAACGAAATTATAAAAGTCCAAAAGTCCGTATGTGTTCGAGAATTCCTTATAGGACCCGCAACCCGGCGTCATCTGAAGGGTTATCGTTAATACTCAAAAGTCGATAAGCGAGGACAAAGAATAATATCATCGTAAAGTACATTTTACATTTACCAAAGGATTAGAAGGCTTCCACCAATGGGTACAGCCTTGGAAAAGGAAATACGAAGGGTTATAGCAGAAGTGAGAAGAATGAAGCAAAGAAAAGAATGACAGGAAAGTGTGAAACATGAGACTTCAGAGCTCCACCTAGTGCCAATTGTATAACATCAATGAATACAAATTACAAACATACAGTTGTGTACAGAATAACTGCCTCTGCAACTTGAGACAGTAGGAGCTCCATAACGGCTAACTTGTTTTGGAACTCAACACACAAAACGCGTATGAACAACCCACTTGGGGAAAAAAGAAACAGACAAAGCCCTCCATGGCTTTGGAGGTAACAAAAGAAAGACAATCGCGTATGTACAATACAGCCAGTAGGGTTTCTCAAACGGGATCCCGGGATCCCGGGAAACAGTTCACTTTTATCCCGGAATCCCGGGACAAGCAAAAGACCGGGAAATGAGAAACCCTAACAGCCAGTACATGAGAAGATGGTCCCAACAGCTGTCTTGCCATGGGGCCAAAACAAAACGTGTATGTACAACCCTCTCTAACGACAGGGAAACAGCCGAATATTTTGCCTAGTGTTATACTTTAGAATGTCTGTAGCTCTGATGAAACTTTCAAGAGCCTGTAGGGTCTTTTGATTCGTGAAAAAGGCTTTCAACTGGCATGGCCAGTGAAAACCATGGTCATACGGAGTACTCGCTAAAATTTGTTTCATGTTTGTATTTAGTGCACAAAATGATATGCTGCACATCTCGATCCTCGGATAGGGCACAAGGGCATTTCCCATTCCCTTTGTTCTGGAAACGCTTCAGGTATGTATTAAAGTTCCCGTGCCCTGTAACAATTTGGGTGGGAATAAAGTTTCGATGGTAAAAAGAAATGTGCCTCCTGTCCTGAATGCTTGAAAAAAATTGGAAGGAAAGACTGTTTGTTTATTCTGCTTCCCACCTCTGTTGCCAGATTTGCGTTATGATGTGTTCTGTTGGAACTTGACTATGCTCGATGTTAGGGTGTTGAAACAGATGCGCATGTCAGCCTTAGCCATCTTTTTTGCGAGTTGGTCCGCTCGTTCGTTTCCAGTTATCTCAGCATGCCCTTTGACCCAATTTAAGAGGCTTTTTATTCCTTTTCCTCTAAATAGCGTCAGAAGGTTTTTAGTTTCTTGAACTATAGTTAACTTTGTGCGTAGATTCCTAATTTTTGCTAGGGCCACTTTGCTCTCGCTGATGATGTGTATTGTCTTGTTTCTGAACATCGGATTGTCTCTGATATATTGCAACGCCCTCAAAATAGCCAAACTTTCGGCTTGGTTCTTTAAGCATTGCATTCCTAGCTTGAAGAAGGTTTGATAAATTAATCTTCCAGAAGCGTTATTAACCTATTGCGCACCAACGCCCTCGGCAGATTTCGACCCGTCAGTAAACACATTGTACGTTTTGTCATTTACTGTTACTGCCTCGGTAATTTCCGTATTTAATTCAGCAGGATAGTCTTTTGCAGTGAGTCTAGGCCGTAGTTCTGGATGTCTTTTATAAGTTCCTCCATGGAAGCATGAACAATGGGAGTTTGAAT